TGGTGGCTTATGGGGAAAAGAGTTATTTTTCTTTAAGGGGGTGGTTATTGGCACTCGACATTCTCCAGTGAGTGTCCCCACACCCAGGAGTATCTGAGCAGCACAATTGGAGTCAGTTATTGAAAAATGTTTTAAGAGGACAGAAATTTGGGGGAGTAGAGAGGTGGGAGTGGATCAGGGAGGAGTGTGTTGGGGGACAAATGTGATCAAAATACATTGTATGGAATTCTCAAAGCATTAAGAAATATTTAATTGACTTATCAATATTGAGTTACTACTTTGCTGACCGTTAGTATTTCTTCTGCTGCTAAACAGGGTCAGGTACTACCTTCTACCTGTTCTACCCCTGCCAACCACAAGCTTTGTCTTCTTCATTATCTTTTAAGAGTTAAGTTTAAGGCATTCCTTCTATCACAGGCTGTGCCCTTGGGCCTGATAGTCCTCCGCTCTGTTTTCTCCAGTTGATGCCGATGCTCATGGTAGACTATGGTATACTTGATGGCTACTCATGGAAGCCTCATCCCTGACATTTCTAATCCTTCAATGTGGTGTGGATCAAACTAGACACTTAAGTGCCCGTTAAGGCAGAATGTGTTCTGGACCAGAATCAGTAATCTGGAGGATGGTGTGAGTATAGCCTTATATCATCGCATAGCTAAAGATAACTCAGCTGAAGGCGGGTGGTCTGCACTGGGCCCATACACTGGTGGAGAGCTGGGCTCAGATACTCAAGTACCCTGACCCTTAGGCCTGAGGACCAGCTTATTCTGCTCCACCCTCCCATAGCAAAGCTTTTGACAGCTGCCTTTTTAATACTTAATGGAAGTAGGTCACATATTCTATCAGTGTATATATTTTCTAGCCATCTTCCTTACTAGTTCCCATCTCTCTATTCTAATTCCCAAGTTGTCTCTGCGACAGCAGCACCCATTATGTTGTTTATGAGTATGTACCTTGAATTTGCTTCTTTCTAGAGAAGTATTTTCTTTAAACGAGGCCTTGTGCCACAGCGCACAGAAAGATGGACTGAATGCAAGAGGAAACCTGGAATGCAGGATGTAGAGAACAGAGGAAGCCTGAGCCAGCAGTACTGTTGATAGGGGCCTGGTCATGTCAAGGACCTCACAGCCTCAGGTTCAGAGTGAAGGTGTAGCCTTCCTCGGGAGACCAAGTGCTAGTGTTGACAGTATTGCTGAAACTATCAACCATAGCTTTCTCTCCACAGATATTTACAGTCTGAGACTGCTCCTATGGAGATTAGGAAAATCTGTCCCCTAATCCAGCTCTACTCCGTAAACTCTGCCTCCTTGTTCATCTGTACATAATAAACACAATGAGATTCTGGGATGCTGGTTTCTCCAGCTGAAGGCCAAACCGCCTATCCCAGTTTTCTGTCCATGTGCCCATCTGTCTGTCTTTTATTCATTTTCTCACCATTCTAGTCTGGTTCATTCCTGGAACCATGATGGATATGGCATGGGGACTTATCTTTGAAGGAAGAAATGTCCCCTTCTTTGTGTTGGGAGACAGTATTAGAAATGGACTCATGGTCTATGCCCCATTATATGAGGGTGCCTTTGTATACAAATATGCCTTTTATGCATCCTATAACCAAAGCAGTGCTAGAAAACAAGTAAGTGATCTCTTCATTAAAAAAAGAAAAATCAGTCAAGACAATAGTTACTCTATAACTTGCAGGGCTCCTGGTCCTCCTGCTCAGTAGGAGAATGGTGTTCTCGTAAGTAAATTCTGAGCCAGATTCAGTCTCCTCCTGATTTCAGAGGAAGCCATGATCATTAAAACTCTTATCTTCCCTTTTGTCCAAGAGTCTCCCTCTGGCTTTGTAGTTACAGTTGATGCCGATGTACGTACATTGTGTTTTCAATTAGCCGTGCTTTTAAGGAAATGGTGAAAATAACAGATGCACTTCCAATTGAAGTTTTATTGCCTTTAAAGATATAAATAGCAAATGTATGTTCTTTGTCAACGGTGAATGATATGCTGTACAAAGGTGCCCCTGACTTTTGTTTGTGATTTTTTTGTTAAAAATGAGAAACTATTTTTACAATTTTTTAACAGATACAAAAAAACATGCATACACATACATACCAACAGGCTAATATGTAAAATTGGGCATGAGACTTCTGAACAAGCAAAGCACAGTCAGCAAAGGATGGCGAGAGCCAATGGCAGAGTACCATTTGCCATAGGTTGGGTACTGTGCTAAAGATCTTAAGTAAATTGTCAAGTCTAATGCTCGAGCTCCTGAGGGTGAAGCACATCAAGAGAAGTTGCACTGGCCAGTGTCATTTAGGTAGAAACAGTAGAGCCTAGACCTGAACTCCAGTCTCTCTAATTCCAAAGCCACTGCCCTAAACCTCTGTGCAAACTGCTCTCACACAAGTTTATGTCCAATATCAGAAGCCCCAATTGCTCCAGTCGAACAGAGTTTATGAACAGCCCTCTGAAGTGTCAGTCGGAACTCGTTTTCAGAAACCAGACAGTGTTAAGACTCTGTTTATAACTCTGTAGTAGTATTTTATAAGTTAGTTTAAGAGCATAGTTTTCACGTCTCCAGATCGCCTCAGAGAAAAACACGTCTGTAGGCTTCTGTCCAAGTTGTGATTATTTGTAATTGATGCTTTTGGAAGTGTTTCTGTTCCATCGTTTTTGCTAAACACGGGTTTAGAAAACCACACAGTTCCATCAGATGATGTGATTAGCAAGCCCCCCAGTTTCCGGCCAATGGATGCCTTCAGCGCCTTGGCTTTAAGACCTATGATAACAAGGAAAAGATAAATGACAGAGACACTTAAGAAAGAGAAAAGCTTTTCTTCTCCATCTACCTCAGTGGAAACGTGTGTTTTCCTTCCTTCCTTTCCCTACTCCCCTTCCCCCTTCCCCTCCTGTTGTTCTTCTTCTGGGAATCCAACCCCAATCCTCTGGGCTGCTAGGCAAGTGCTCTGCCACTGACCTGCAGCCCCCCTCAGTGCAGCTATTTTTGAAGCCATCTGTAGCTCGCTGGAGATTTGCAGGCTGTTATCCGTTCCATACAGTAAAAGCATCACTTCAGTACATGCTTCCGTTACAAAACCAATGTTGAAAAAGAGTGATGGAAATATTTTAGCTGATGCCTTCGACTTAATTTATACAGGTCTGGAGAAGCCATAGTCTCTTTCCTCTTAATGTCCCCGCTGCCACCACATTATTAGAGACCCAGCCATTTTCACCAAGCCATCGTCTGGAAGAGTCCCCTGAAAATGAAAGCTCACTTTTGTTATCATATTCCTCATTGCAAGCCTAACCAACTAAAAATAGCCTTGAAATAGTTCAGAGGAAACAACCTTCATGTCCATAGATAACTGATCCAATAAACATGACATAGCAGACGGGTGCCGAGCATGGTCAGATGTGTGATATTCGTGAATGAACAACACTAGATTGGCCCTAGTGTCACACACTTTAAGCCCAGCTCTGAGGAGGCCAGCTTCATTGCCATAATGAATTCTAGAACAACCTGAACCACATAATAAGACTCTCTCTCAAAAGAAATAAGTAAACTTTAGAAAGAAAAATAAAAATGTCATTTTGAAACTTATCATTTTGTACAAAGAATATATGTTAACAAACATTTTTAATAAAATCAAGGCTTGTATGTCTAGACTTCTCAGAAGTCACATTAAAAAAAAAACTAGAACATGTATTGCTTTGCTTGTCAGTAGATGAGACATGAAATATTATCAGAGCAATATCAGTGCCTCATTGGCTTTGCGTCAACTACTTACCTTTTCTATGATCTTTTAACATCCATTATTTAAAGATTTTATCTATTATTTTATGTGTATGAGTATTTTGTCTGTATGCATGTGTACCTCATGCATATAGTCCCTGTGGTAGCCAAAAGAGGGAAGCAGCTCTCCTGAGCTGGAGTTGCGGGTTGGTGGCTGAGACTTGGCCTGTGGGTGCTGGGAACTGAACCTGGGTTCTCTGTAAGATCAGCAAGTTCTCTTCAGCACAGAACCATCTCTCAAGACCCATTTTATACAAAAATTTGTGGTTAGCTCAAAAAGAAAAAGACTAAGCTTAGTGAGAACTCTCTGCTATAAAACCAATTTCTGATACGAAGATCATGATTTAATATTCAGCTTTTAGAACCAATGTCTGAAGCAGCCTATGCCTTTAGCTTCCATGTCATCCCTTTGACAGTGAATGTGTTCTTGGAATGTTCTAGCATTTTATCCTCTCTTTAGATTGTTAAGCAGTAGAATAGACTTAGTAATGAAAACTTTTGAGGGAAAGAAAGTTTCTTAACTTAGCCAGATAGGAAAGCGTTGTATAGCATTGGGTCATGTAAGGTAAGTTGCTTAGAGTCCTTTCCTGGAACTTTAGTGCTGTGGACTTTATTTTGTATTAAAGTTGTGGCCACTTATGCCTTAAATGCATAGTGACACACTGCACTTCTTAGGTTTCATCAGCTAATGTAAAAGAAGCCTGTGCTCTTCTTTTAGAGACGAATCTTATTTCTGTTTCATACATTTGGAAATGAAGCTGACTCTGGGGATAACAGGAAGAACCCGCTGGTCTCCAAAATTTAAATGATGACTTTAGAAACCAGTACCAGCAACACCTTAGACTTGGGACCTAGTTTTCAAAAAAAAAATTTGATGAACTTTATATAATGTGCATGCATGTGTGCATCTTAATTCTGGTTTGTCTCCTGCTTTTAGCTAATATTATAACACTTCTCAGCCTTCTCTATATTTGGGAAGACTCAATCAGCCATGTCAGCTCTGAAGAAAGCCCACCGGCTTCTGTTTTCTGGGTTTTGAATAGCGATAGACCCTGCCTGATAAGCTGGTGAAAGTTAGAGCTGGAGTTTTCCTACCTGCCTTTATCACTCTCCTCCTAAACCACAGTCTGCCTTTTGATAGCTCTAATAATTAATTTGGTCTTCTCTCTTTCTTCTCCCTTCCCCCTCCCTTCTCCCTGTCTGTTCACAGGTTATCTTGACGAATCAAATTACGACCCATCTGAGTGGAGCCCTCCCTTCTCAAGCAGACCTGGTGTCTCCGGCTGATGATTTGTCCCTGTCTGAAGGTAAAGGATCTGTCCTGGAGAGACTGAAACTTGACACTGACATACAGCCTCCTGCCTCCTGCTGAGAGCTGGGAGACATGACTCCTGGACGCTGGTCAGTGCTGCCTGCTGGGGCCTGGTGATTTAGGCTTGGACATCTTGCTGGGCACCTGATCTATTCTTGTCTTTTGCCATCTCTGAGTGAGTTCCCTTTGAGTCATCTTTCCACACATCCATCATCTCCTCCAGGACGGAGTCTTGTTGCCCTCTGTTGCGCCTTGCTAACAAGGTGCTGTTTCTGAAATGGATGCTCCAGCCTTGCCTTTACTAGTGACCTCATTGCGATCTCGCCTTTTATTTGTACCGAGCACCTCTGGGCTGCCTAAAAGTGTACAGTGTTCCATGTGCAAGAGGTGTGACGTTCCTGATCAACTTTGCAGGAGCAAGACAAAAGTCTCTCCAGTTGTAAATCTGCCCTTTCCCCATGACCTCCTACTTAGCAAAGGTCAGACGGACTGGGATTTGAGGGCAGTGAACCTTGAGTGGTTGGGGGAACTACATCAGCAGCCAGAAGGTGGTTTCTAATTTTGTTAAAGTCCTCCCTTGACATTTCTGAGCTTTTCTAGTTGCAGTTGAATTTGGGGCACAGTGCTAGGGGCCTGAGTAGACTCACACACTCCTTCCAGGCCCACTTTCCCTTTCTACTTTCGGAGAATTGGCCCTGCTGGAATCCAGGGGACTTTCAGGCCTAGAAAGGCTCCAGACTGCCGGACCAGGTAGTCTGCATGGGTCAGTACCACTTTTGTCTCAGATTGGAAGCCCCATATGTCTCCTTCTTGGTGTTGTTTTTCATAGTGAAAACCGACGTGTTTATGAAAGCTGTAAAGTGCTCTGTGTCCCTGCCTTCTGCGTTCAGTGATCTGTCAACCTTCTGCCACCTGAGCTGAGAACCTGAACTAGCTGGAATTCACCTCTCTTTCAACTCCTCTCATCAAATTGGCTTTAGCTTTCTTTCCAAATATATCTTTCATGTGTCCCTTTGTTTTCTTTGTGTTTTGTGTTATGATCAAGTGATTTATTAAAACTCATAATTGGCTCATTCTAATAAACCCTGTAAGACCTTCTGTTTCCATTCTGCTATTTGGCCTTACTCCAGGGTGCCTCCCTCTTACTCAAAATGCTGAAGATTGTCTCTTCTGAGGATGCACTAAAATATGTGTGCCAATTTAAAAATATTCAGGAATTTGAGGTTTATTCTAACAGCTATGTAATATAATGTGGGAGTCAGCAAATGCAAAAACTCCAGTATCTTTCTTTTGAGTGAACTAGTTTCTAGAACGCCACTAAATAAGGTTAATCCTTCTTAACCCTGCCAGGTCAACCCTCCCTTTGCTGGTCAACCCACTAAGTCCTTGAATAAAGCGTCTATGTCAAGCATGCAATCTTCTGATGCCCTTCTCTCTGTCTCTAGAACAGTGTTTCTTTCTTGTTCTCTCATCCCTCTTCCCAAGGCCAATCCTCCAGTCTCAAAGGCTGCCTCTTGCACAGAGCCTCCTGGCCTGCACAGTTATCTCTCTCCTCTGTCCTCTCTGCCTGCTTGGGCATGTAAAGAAATGCTCTAAGAAGGTTGACTTTCATATATTTTTAAAACAAGTTGGTAGATATGTCTTGTGTGAGAGATCGAACTTAGGGCCTCAGGCATATTATAAAAGCAAGTGCTTGACTTCTGAATGTATAACCAGCACTATGCTATATTCTTTTTGTGTGCATGTTTTATCACAGTGACCAACCAACAGCTGTAGGCATACTGTAAACCATAAGGAGATATTAAGTGAGTACCACAGAAAATAGAGACCAGCACTCTGCCTAGGAATGTCATTATACACATAGCACGCGCACGCACAAACACATACACACACACACACACACACACACACACACACACACACACACAGTTTGTTCAGCTCTGAGGAAACCAAAAGAGAATATCTTGCTTTTTTATTTGAACATGTAAGTGCATTTTTTTTTTTTTGGCTCCCTGCTTTATACTAAGCAAAGGAGTAGAACAAAATGGAGAAGAAAGAAATGGCTTTGAACTCTAGTGTAATGGCAACAGGAAAGTGATGAGCCACTGCATGGAAAGAGAGTTCCTAGGTCATCCTTAGGTAACTAACTCCTCCTAATTATGAAACCCTAGCGGGAAATGAAGCAGATGGGGGTTTTGTTTTGTTTTGTTTTTAAGTGTTTTTCTGGTATTGAGGGAACTTGTAAAGAGAACATAGAAATATTTTTCCCAAAGTTTACAATGGAGTTACTTACCAGTGAGTTAAAATAAACAGATTTTGGCTGGGGAAAACTTGCCTAATACTCATGAGACAGTGATATTCTATCCCAGAACTTTAGACCAAAACAAAAAACAAAAACAGAACACACCAGGGCGGGGGGGGGGGTTTTACGGGGAGCAATACTTAGAACATGCGTTCCTGCTCACTTATATTGCAATGGTCCCCACGTGTCAATGAGAGAGATGTGAAAGAGATGGCCTAAAATAGAATAAACCGCGTGTGGATTCTAGTCCTCTATTTGATCACCTTTGCCTGTGTGTAACTATGACCTGGGCAGATCTTTGGGACCTCAGTTTCTTCTGTTTGATGTTATGTCTGAAGGAGTAGAAGACTGCTCAAGTCTTTTTCAGTGCTGACTGGTGCGGTGGTCTGCATCTGGGAAGCCCCCAGCCACGGGTGGCTCTTCTGGTTTATGGAGTCCTGTAATGGATTTCAGCTGCACGGCAGAGACCCCTGCTTAAACAGTGCTCCCTTGAAAACAGTTATGAGAGCAGGCAGCCAAGAGCAGCCAGCAATAAAATGATCTGGGCTGACCTGAGAGGAGCACCCAGCAGGAGTTGATCCGGGAAATGAAGTCCCTTCTGCTCTGCTGCAGAAAAGGGAATACAAGTGACCTGGTCCAACTGAGCCATCTCTCCTGCCCGAGCTGATCCTGTGCTATTAATATCTGCCAGCTGCAGACCCAGAGCATCCCCTGCTGAGATCAAAGGAGCCCCTATCTTAGCTGGAACAAGGTCATCTGCACAGGGCTATAAAAGTAAGTCCTGGCTGGCTACAAGGATGGCTGTGGGGGAGGAGAAGTCAGGAGATGGGAGGCACTCTCCTGCTCCTTTCATCTCAGCTGACCAGCTGTTGCCCTCCCAGTGTTTGTAGAGTTGAGAGGTCTTTGTTTTTGTGTTGCTGCCTCTGCCTTATTCAATTTGTGCCTGGGTTGTTGTCTGGATTAAGCACACCCAGTGCTCACAGTTTGGGTCCCTGATATGAGTCCTTGAATTGAGGTTGCAGTGTTGAGTTACCCAGCTCCCGGTTGGGAAAGCCAAAGAAGGAAAGCATGGACCCCATAGGCCAAGGCCTTTCCCAGCCTACTCCTGCCCTACAGCTTGTGCCTTGAGAAGGAATTCTTAAGAGGACACATTCAATTACTTGGCATTTCGAAGGCTGCCTTTCACAAACTCACTCATTAATTCAAGAAAATAGAACATTCTGGACTCCTGCACACTTACCAAAACTGCGAAGTCATGTCATCCCATCCCAGTGTGCTTCTCAGTCTCTCTGGGCTGCACACACTCCGACTGTTTCTATGTCTGTATGGAAGAGATGCGAAGAGAATGAGAGGCAGACAAGCCCAGAAACATATACGGAGTGAGAAAGAAGCAATATGGGGAGGCGGTGTGGCAGGAATGCCAAAGTGTCCATACTAGAGCAGCCTCAGCCTCAGTGTGACAGGTCATTTGTCCCACTCTATATTAGAATTAAAATCCCACCAGTGAGTTGTTCTCTAGGCCCCTTACTGTCTTACAATAATATCAGGGCTAGAAAAGACTTCATCAACGTTCTGTTTGTCCAACCTGCTGTTTCCAAAAGAGACTGAGTAGAAATAATGATTTTGTTGTTTAACATTTTCCATAACTCTAGGCCTGGATAGGTACTGTCATTCACAGTATCTTTTTAAGTTTTTGTTCCATTGACACAAACCCTGACACATCAATTGTCAAAGTTCAGTCATTGGTTATTACAACTTTTCTGTTTCTTAGCTCTCGCTTCTTCCTTGTAGCCACTGAAGAGACCACAGGTTGGGTTCCTTCAGAACTGGGCCTCCTTCATTGGAACTCTTTCCCCATATTGATAATTAAAGAAAGGATCTAATGGTACAGCTGCCTATAAATGCATATCCTGAGGCAGAGTTGGTAGGTGATATTGGTATTTGGTAGCAAGACTGAAGCTCTGCTCAGCCCAACCATTAGCTTGCTTTCTTATGGTGGGTTAGGAAGGTAGCAGCTACTTTTAAATACGGTGACATGGCCCACTTGAGGAGTCCCAGGTGACTTCGTGGGATGGGAGACATTACTGGACTTCCATCCCATATTCTAGCATCTGGCACATTGTTATCTTCTTATCTCTCTTAGTAGTCTTTAGTAGATGATAGCACATGGAAACTAACCCTTAAAAGTGCATGGAAAGGTCAAGGATAGAACAAAAGAAAAACAAAATGCACTTCTTACTAGAACCAAAAGTGTTTTTTAGTTTGAATGCTGGGACTCCTTTCTATTCCTGTTGCAGTCAAGGGAATTGATGGCTGATTTCATTTGCAAGAGAAAGTATTTTGGGATTCAAATTCCCTAACCAGCCACCCTTGCAAAAAGCTGGAGTCCATTTGAAAGATTATATGCAAGTGTGTGTGGCTTGTGTGTCTTTTAAAATAAATTTAGCAAGCAAAAGCAGCTCAGAATGGTTGGGGCGAATCAGGGACTCGTGGTTGTGAAAGGAGCAGACTTCAAAGCATGGTATGAATTTTCTAGTTTTATTTCCACTCTTGCTTTCCAGCTGGATCTGCTCTGGATTTACTGCAGGATGTTTGAAAATGTGGCTCCCTGCTAATCTCAGACAGTTGCTATGATCAATGGTTTCTTTCATTTCCGATAAAAAACACTGGTGTTTCTGCTTAAATTGTGTGTA